AAAACAATAAGAAATTTAACCTGGTCGCTCATCCGGAAAATGTGTGTCAAATCCACCATCTGAAGCAAGGCTGTAATGTGCATCCCAAGATTTAATCATCCAATCAAGTTTATTCAACATACGACTTATTATTACTTTAGAATGAATCCGCTCAGTAAACTTTAACCTGGTCACTCATCCGGAAAATGTAGGTCAGATCCAGCATCCGAAGCATGTTTAATATTGTGCATCAAACTTTTTTTTAGAAACTTTAAATAAAAACAGCAAGTCTGAATGATGTTTTATACTTGATAATGTGATCTAGTTTTAGCCAATCGGATAGCTGGGAATGATACAGAAAAATTGAGGTATTTTATGTACTTCTACCAACTTTATTTAATTTAAACAGATATGAATATTAACAATAAAATGGTTTTTGTTTTGGTCAAAGTTATAAGTAATTGTTGGTAGTGCTGCAAATGATAGCGATTTAGATTTCATGAGAAAAAGAGAGAGAGAGAGAAAATCATATTTAATAGACGCAAATATTCTCGATAAAAAGGCAAAATAAATAAATAAAATAAAAAAAGTTACAAAATATAATATAAAAAACAGAAGTTTACTTGCTTTCAGTATTTCAAAAATGTTTTCTTTTTCCTGCATGTTTATTTACCTTAAGTTTTCTTACAGATTTAACTTCTATATCCGTGTTTTAGCTCTTCGTATTAATTTTACCATTAACTTAATGATTAAGGACTAAAAAAATACATACACTGAATAATTGAACATAGAAGCTTGACAATTATATTGTTTTTGAATAATTTTTAATAAAATAACTAAGTTGTAACCCGGCAAGGTTTTATAAATTACACATACAATTCAGGTTAATATATTGAAAACGTAAGTATCGGAAATGTTATCAATAATTCGTTTAGAAGAGTACAAATGTTACCGTCTTATAATTTGAAAACAAAGAAAATTTACCCTACATATAACGAACTATAGGCAGTTTAAATTAGTTAAACGATGGATTTGCTTGTATAAATCATCATTTCATTTCTACTGTAGAACCTTTTTAAATGTGTATAATTTCTGTAGTTAGCACAATTCTTGCTGGCTCCAGTTAAATAATATATAATGTCTGGTGTCGACGAACCAACTAAATCACTCAAATATCAGAATAAATAATTCATATCGCCATTAATATATATTGTTAAGAGTACATTGTCAAGCATTCGAACTTGTATTAATTAACGATGTATTATCTCACTGTTCTTTGAACGTAGATGCATTTCTATAGTATATTTAAGAAATACATAAGTTTAAAAACTTCACTGGGAAATGAAGTGGGTCGGTCACGTGATCAAATCCTACGAAACTCAAATGCCCTCTCTGTAGATTTGATTTTTTTTAAACATGTTATTTATTTTTTATATACATATATATGTTGGAGACGGACAATCGTATACAAATTTGCAGTGACTGTCCCTCGTAGATCTCACCCCTACTAATGTGTTCTGGACCTTTTATTTTTCGATGTTCTGCAAATTATAAAACCAGAGGAGTTCAAAGTAGCTCTGGCAGTAGCTCTGACGAGATTTAGCGAGACTACAGCGAAATAACTTAAATTATTCACGGAAATGTTGCTAGGAAGTGACTAGCACGTGGAGACAGGGTAAACAGAAAAGTTATGTTGCGTTTTAGTTTTCACCAAATAATTGTAGAAATGTACTTCAATTTCTCTTGAATTCATTCAGACTTCAATAAGTATTCTTTATGACATTATTTTTTAATTGCAGTTATTCGTTTTTGGACAAACATACTTGCATGGGAACTGGGACTATAATTTTGGCGTCAGATTAGCAAATGAAGTAACTGACAGTTTAACTAAATGAATTGAATTGCATTGTGGGTTACTAAGGATACTACAGGTATTTTACGCTTGAAAAAAAAAATCAAATCCCCATGCATTTTGTAGATGACAAGCAATACAAAAAGCCATCTGTTAGGCTGCGTCTGTATCCCTTTGCTGTACTATCGGTGAAGACAATTGTCAGGTGGGTTACCTGGCCAAAAACACATGTGATCAAGGGTATTGTAATTTAAATAAAAATGTTGTCCATTTAAATGCCTAAGGGGTGTCGCTCGTTTTCCTTACCCTTGAAGCGCTAGCGTCCTTAACGTGGCACAGCCTACGCTTTATTATATACATTTTCTAGTTAAAAACAACTAAACAAAAAATTATAAACACTCGTGAGATCTTTTATAGTTTCAAAATGTTTTTTTTTTGCAGTCCACTGATAGACCTGAACCACGTGTTCGAAGTAAAATATAAACATGTAGTTGTACAGTAAACATTGTTATTCATTCAACGATTGATCAACTGTTCGTGGTAAGATCCTCTGTGCGCATTAATAACAATAGCCATATAAGGAAAACAAAGGTTTGTCATTGTAGAAGACATATTGCACATTGTTTTACCAGCATATCGGGCAATTTTGGAAAAATTGTCACTACTAAGCTCCAATTTTCGCCGTAAATTATCAGAAAAGCGAAGATTAAGTAGAGTGTGATTTTTAACCTACCCACTCTTTTCTGTTTAATATCATGAAAATCTTTCAGAAAGGTCTGGAAACACATTTTTCATAATGCATGTTTTTAAAAGAAACAGGCTACAGCAATTTCCTGTTTACTACCAAATTTATTTATAAAACCGGTTCTACCGTATAACCTTTGAATGGGTCAACCTACACCACGTGTCTTGAATTTAAATCACAATAACATTAGTAGGGGTGGATCTTGTCAAAACGGCTTGATAAGCGATTACGCTTTGAATTCACCTCGCAGAGGTTTTTGTTTTGAAGCAAATATTCTGAGAAAGGCTACTTGTGATCAATAATAGTGAGAAATTGTTGTCAGAGATTTGTTGTTTCCTTGAAACTGATATTCGATGTTGAAAAGGCACAAGAAACACGGCTGATGTTTGATAAGTTGGAGGAATTTCGGTCGGAAAATGGCGTCATCACAGGCCGGGCCAGTTAATCTTGAAATCAAATCAAAAATATATCTACTATTCAAGTCAGGCATATTCATTAGGATTTGACACAGAGACACTGACGACTGCTTACATTGAGACTATGCAGCTGAAAATAACTTCACAACATGCAGCTGTTTATTCTCTATGTAAAATCGCCAAAGGACTGGATTTCTGGATTAAATAACTGTATACCTTTTTACATATTATTGCGCCATTTAATTGGGTCACGTAATGACTTATGACCTTTGGAAAACTTCTCATAGGTATGATTTTTTGGGCTCTCAGCTGCATGTTTATATAACAGAGAGATACCATACAAAGCCTTACTTCTTCAATAGAAAATGAATTATGTATTTAGGCCTACTTGAAACTTATACTTTTATATGCTGATGATACTGTCATTTTAGCAGAAACTCCTGATGATCTACAGAATGCTTTGAATGAATTTGAATGCTATTGTAGGGAGTGGAAATTGCAAGTTAATATTGACAAGACAAAAATATTAATTTTTTCAAAAGGTCCTTTATTCAAAAGAGAATTTTACTACAATAACAAGAGTCTAGAAAATGTTAAAGAGTTTAAATATCTTGGTATTATTTTTTCATGATCTGGTTCCTTTTTAAAAGATTAAATATCTTGGTTTTATTTTTTCAAGATCTGGTTCCTTTTTAAAAGCCAAGAAGCCCAAAAAAGCAATGTATGGTGTAATCAGAAAAAATAGAAAATTCAACCTCCCTGTAACATGTCAATTTGAATTGTTCGATAAAATGGTTGTACCAGTGTTACTCTATGGTTGTGAAATCGTGGGTTTTGAAAACCTAGACTTTATTGAACGTGTTCATTTAAAATTTTTGAAACATATACTTTACTTGAAAAGTAGTACTCCGAATTTTTTGGTTTATGGTGAAACAGGACGCTTTCCATTATCTGTCCTGGTTTATTCCAGGATAGTTTCTTACTGGTGTAAATTAATTAACAGCCCCGGAAACAAAACTTCATGTATTTTATATAAATATTTAATCTCCAATTCACAATCTGAAATTGGTAAGAATCCATGGATTGATTGTGTGCATCGTATTTTCGATTCTTGCGGACTAACTTATATTTGGAATGGACAGTTTTGTAATAGTCTTAATCAAGATTGGGTTGCAACGATTACAGGATCAATTTGTACAAAAATGGCATGCTGACATTAATAGTTCATCCAAGGGTGTTGTGTATAAACTTTTTAAAATAAATTTTGAATGTGAAAAGTATTTAATTATTTTTCCAATAATGTTTAGAAAAAAATTTGTAAAATTCCGTACTTCTAATCACCCTCTACCAGTTGAGCTGGGAAGATGGGCAGGTATTATACCATTAAATGAAAGATTATGTACACTTTGTAAAACCAAACACGTTGCTGATGAATTCCATTTTATACTTGAATGCACTGCATTGTCAAACATTAGGAAAAAGTATATTAGTGAATACTACTTTACTTGACCAAATATACTTAAATTTTCTCAATTGATGACAAAACAAGATGCTAAGACGAAGAAAAACTCTGTACTTAAATATTAAAAATAAATGATTTAGTCTGTCCTCCATGATTTTTTTCCTCATTTATACCATTATTATATCTATTATATGTATATATCTTTTTTTTCTTCTTTTTTTGTCCTCTTTCACTTTCATTTTCTGAATATGTATATCATATACTTGTACCTCTGACCTGAATTTATATGCTGTAAATATTTTTCATTGTCCTCATGTACCATATATTTACATGGTTTTGAGTGAATAAATGAACTTGAACTTAGAGAGATACCATATATATATATATATATATATATATATATATATATATATATATATATATATATATATATATATATATATATAATCAGACTGTAGCATTACCTAGTATATACAAAAAGAATTTAGATACCACTAACTATGTAAAACTTTTTATTCCAGTAAAAAATTGTATTGCATGATGAACACATCCTTTAAAATCACTCAAGAATTACAAAACAATGTCCTTTTAAAGGAAATAAAAACAAAATAAATTGTGTTATTTCATAGCACCAATGTAGTTTACAATTGAATTGATTGACCAGGTTTTTCATGTATTGGCAAACCTAAGTCATACAATAGAACAAAGTACATTCATACAAAATTTTTCTCTCCTCAAATCTGCTCTCCGCCTAATTTGCTCTGAAAAAAAAATATATATATATATATGTAAGAAAGAAATACTATTACATTTTACAATTAAAACTAAACTCAATTTAAACAATACCTAGTTTCTATTTTGCAATTAAACGATTAAATAATTATATCTTTTCATCACAAAGAAATAGTCTAGTTTTGAATTAAAAAAAATAAAATAAATCAGACAGTCACCTGCTAAGCTCCTCCTGTCAATTGCAGATAGAGCTTCAAATAAAAGCCTCATGATGTTTTCGTCTTTTCTCACTCCGTGCAGCCATATCATTAACAAACGAAACCCATGTTCCTTGTAGCTGTGTGTTCCTTAATAATAGAGTGTCCTTCAATTACATGCTTTGGAGAACATTTTCAAACCAAAATAATTGTTTCACGTGAAAAGGAATCAATATGTCTAACGATTTATCGTCACAAATATAACGTTTCATTCATAATTCAGATCCAAGCTGATAAGAATTGGGAATAATTTTCTTGAAAACGATTGATCAAAAAATGTACATTGAAATGAACCCAAACAGTTCTAACTTTTTAATTGAGTTAAGAGTGGCCATTTTCCCAACCAAAAATTCAGATTGTTTGTTTGTTTGTTTTGTTTGTTTTGTTGTTTTTTTTAGTGAAAATGACGTATATTTCTATACCTTTATTTTTAGCTAGGTTCATTGAACATAGAGCAAAATAACATTTATGTGTAAGAATATAGTATTTACTCTAAACAGATGTTGAGAAACAAAAACAGTAAATTATACGAAGTAAACCAGGAATTTTTCTAAACAATAATCATTAATGTAATTTATTCTCTTCCAAGCTCTTCATTTGCCTGATAATTGTTTAAAATGATAAGAGAGGTTTCATCAGGTCCGTTTCTGCGACATGTCATCGCCATCGGACCTTTCCGATATGTGATTGCAAATGTTGTATACTTGTGGAAATGTCGGGACGCTGTTTAATTTGAACCAAGGTATAAGGCCACAATACTATATACATTTGACATTTTGTTTACAATGTTTGTTCACTATGAATTTTTTTTGTTACTTTTTTGACATTTTTTTTCAGTTTCTTTTCCAAAAAAAAAACTTTTTCAGCTTTACATCCTATTTGTGATATGCATATTTCCAGTTTCTGAACTTTTTATAGCTTTTATTACTAATGTAAAATGCTCTCAAAATGATCCCGGCTCTCTGTACTTCTAAGTACTTTGATTTATCTCCTTCTTATCAAAACTTTTCATTCTACAAGGAAGAAAAACCACTACTCCATTTTAATGCCATTGAAATGCGTAATGTTTTTGTAGTGTTTTTTATCCTTCTTTTCAATTCTTTCCATCGTCTTTTTAAGTTAATTGTGCAAAGTTTGACAAGAGATGCATGGGCCACAATGCTCATATGAGTAACTATAGCCATTCTTGTTTTTCATCAGCAGATTCCTTTTCCTACATATTCCTATGTAAAACGTAGATCACCCATGGAAGCCCCATTCTTCCCCAGAGGGTTATGATTCGAACAAACTTGAATCTAGACTACCTGAGGATGTTTTCTATAACAATATGACAATTCATGGCTTTCCTTTTTTGAGAAGAGGATTTTTAAAGACTTTTTCTATGAATTCTTTAGTAAAACTTTGATCCCTATTGTCATCCCAAACTACCCCAAGGAGTCATAATTTGAACAAACTTGAATATACACTACATGTGGATGAATCCATGTGAATAAGAATAAACATGGTTTTGTTGTTCTTGAGAAAAAGAGTTGTCCTATGTTTCTGTACGTTTTCTTATGTAAAATTTTGCCTTACCCATTGCTGCCCTACCCGGGGGTCATCATTTGAACAAACTGTATACATGTATATACTACGTGTATATGCTTCCATTTAAGAATGACTGATATAATGCCTTTAATATTATTGAGACGAAGGAACATCCATGTAAAACTTGGATCGCCCATAGTGGCTCCACCTTACCCCCGAGGGTCATGATTTGAACAAACTTGAATAAATACCATATCAGAAAGCTTTCATACAAGTTTCATCTTTTTTGACTCAGTGCATGGTTCTTTAGGAGAATATTTTTAAATGACCCCACGTAGTATTTACTTTTACTTAAATATCTCCCCTTGGAAAAGGAGTGGGTATTCAGTTGAACAAACTGAATTCCCTTCCCTAGGATACTCTGTGCCAAGTTTGGTTGAAATTGGCCAAGTGGTTCTGCAGAAGAAGATGAAATTGTAAAAAGTTAACAAGGACGACGCCAACAAGGAGGACGATAGACAACGGAAAAGTTTTGATAAGAAAAACTCATTTGAGCCTGCTGCTCAGGTGAGCTAAAAATGGCTACCATTTTTCATGCACATGTATCATTTATTTACACAAAATCGACTTTGTTCAAGAGGGTATTAAGTACCCATTAATAGTTACCACTATCATTTTATATATCATTTTTTAAGAATGAATTATTTTTTTCTAAAAAACAAATATGTACAAATTCGTCCACTTACAATAAAAATGACACATTTGGTCAATTATATCATTGATGGGTGTAAACTAATCCACTAAACTAAATATCATTTATGGAATTTTATCATTAGTGGTAACTTAAAGGTAGTGTTGTGAGAAATCCTTCACGCTCTCTTTTCATTTTAAATTTTAGCACACTAATTTATGGATGTCAATCCAATATTCCCTACTCTTTCTCGGTTAATTTTGCGTATGTTGAACGAAATGCTGCAAATTTGATATAAATCAAATGAATTAGAGTTTCGTCTTCTGCAACTGTGGTAGGAAAAGTATAGAATTGTGACAACAGTTTTACCACACATTTAGAATCCTGCTTACAGTAAATAATGTGGAATTGATTACTGCACAATACTATTTTTTGTCCTAATATTAAGTTCTCAGGTTACTGATTATATAGAAATGAAATGTGAGAAAAATATTTCAAAAGCAATGCACTCTCGTGGAATTAATTTAAACTTTCTTGATTCAAATAAGAGATGAATACAAAAGCATATAATTTAACATATGAATATAATTTAGTACATCTGTTTCTTAGACTCATAGAACTTTAAGATTCCTCTCAATCAGCAGAGTAAATTTAATGTGAAGTGTTTAGAAGTCATCCACGACCAAAGCAAACATTTTCATTTCTTTTTAAATTCAAGTTATGAATGTATACATAAATACCATAGTACATTATGGATTCTACTCATTACAATATTTATTTTGTTATTTCCAGATAATTATTATTTTTCTTTAATGAAGACAAAATATTGAATTGAAAATATTTTAAACATACATTTAAAACGCATATATACCCGTATACTGATGTTCTATGGACCTGATGTGTTCTGCTGTGAATTTCCAGTATAGAGCAAGCTTTTTCCAGTCCCCAGACTTCAGCTGTTTAGTGGCGAGCTTCCAAAGAATATCTTTCATTTGACCTGCGGAAGGATGGCGAGGCTGTCGTAGATATAAATGTGGGTCAAGGTCATCTAATTCCTTGTCTAGGTAGTCCTTGATTAAAACAAAACAGTTGTTACATAAAGGTATGGACCTTCATGGGAATTGTCACACTTGATGAATCTCAAGTCGTCTCTAATTATTACACATTTGTAAATGCATCTTCAAAGTACTTGCGTCCAGGTAAGATTAAGGTTTACAAAAAATAAATTTGTTCAACTTTTAACAAACTTCTAATGTTGAAATAAAGGTTGAATGTGGCATTAGAAGTAATATTTTTGAAGTGTGTTAAAAAAAACAATACTTGTTGACCTAAAGTCTGTGTAGAACCAAAAATATTTTATAACAATTAAATTGGTTTGATTTAAAAGCTTTGATCTGGTCAATATTCCAAAAAACTAGGAAAGGTTAAAGCGTTTTAGGATAAATCTTTCACGCAACTGACACTAGAAAAAAAAGTAAATATTTTCTTGTTATTAGACTCAGCCTATAATGATATAACCTGTGACCCAATGTCAATCCGTAAGATAACCCTGCCTTCATAGAGGACGGTTTAAGATTTATTTTGAAAGAACGAAATCCGCATATATAAAGATGCAAACATAGACTGTTTATAATACATATAAATGAATTCGTTTAGATTTCTAAAGTAATGGCTTACCCTTGAAACTTCATAGTACCTCTCAGCTTTGATAATCATATCAACAATTGCAACAAAGCTCCCCCTGGCAGCAAGTTGTAGCGGCGTCTTTCCCAACTGTAAATTTGACAGCTAGCCTATTATTATAATTCTGTGTTTGTCATCTAATAAATGAACTAATCAACGAATTAAAAGTAGTTAATGAAAAGCACATTACCTTTTCTCTCAAGTCGAGACTAGCGTTGGCATCGAGTAAAATTTCCACAATATCTTGAAAACCAGACTCGACGGCTATATGAAGAGCTGTCATTTGTCTCTGTGTAATTTCAGGAGAAACGTTTATAAATGGGTGTTAGGTGATGTTCAGCTTTACACATCAAACAGTTTGAATTAAGTTATCAAGACATCATGAAAATTATATATATATATATATATATATATATATATATATATATATATATATATATATATATATATATATATATATATATATATATATATATATATATAAACAATTTAATAGAAGTTTATTTTTTTTAATTACAATGTTGCTTATAATAAAAATGGATCTCACAACAGTTGCTTTTTCATAAATATATCTTACTCTGTTTTACATTTGAAAACATGATTTAATGTGCACACAGGGACGAGCAAAAGTGCAGGTTTCATACAACTACGGGTAAATAGATCCTTTTAGCGCTACTGAATCGATCCAATTAACTATGCTAAAATCGATCCTTTTAGCTTCGTTTATTTAATCCTTTTAGCTATAAGTTTACATGTATGAATACACGTTGATGTACAATTAAACTATAATATTATTGTGAGCTCCGGGAACTTTTGGTAGGTAAAAGCATGATTGATACCATGAAGTGTTGCGTTTTTAAAGATTTTTTCCCTATTATTGCTTCTAATATGTAAAATTTATTCCATTTGATTTTGATGTTTTATTATTATTCATGTATATATATTCAATAGCCAATGGTTTTGATTAAACAGATCAAGCGAGTAGTATTACGATTCTGTACTCACGTAGTTTTGAATGTTGACTTGGCACATATTCTTGATAAGAATTTTCGTTACGTCTGGTTGATTATTCTGGGCGGCTAGATGTAGGGGTGTATTTCCTTGCTGAAAGGAATAGGATAATTTACAGCACTTTGGATTCATGTTAACAGATGGACAATTTATTAATGTCATAAATTCCCACAAAAATGACTTTCCCTTTCCGGATATTCAAACGTGAGTAGCATAAATTGTCTTTAATAATTCAACCAGGGTAGATTTTGTACTTTTGTTATGTAAAACAAATGATCGTGTTTTGTGGTAAAAATATAGGTAATATACGTTAACAAGTCTAAATAACCATTAAGGTAATTAATAGGGTGGAATTACAAAAAAAAAAAAAAAAAAAAAAAAAAAAAAAAAATACTAAGCCTGCGTAAATATTTGAAACTAAAGGCATGTAGGTTATGGATAAATCTTTACATGTACCCTTTAAGAAAAGAATCAAACGAGTAGATACTAGAAAGACAGTATCAAATAAAATCGAACTTTTTTGAATTAGAAAAGGAAGTTGTTTAAGATAACATACAAAGTTAACCACGTCTAACTGGGCACCGTGGTCTATCAGTGAGCTCACGATTTCCGTGTGTCCCCTCAAGGCAGCAAAATGAAGAGGGCTCATCTCTTTCTGTCAAAATAAAATTGTTATTGTAATTAACAAGGTAGCATGGGTTGGAAATTAAATACGCAGAATTATGGTAAAATGAACTGAAAAAGTGATCATTTTAAAATAATTGAAATAATTTATTGCACATTTCGTTTTCTGCAACTTGAAAATTCGTGAGCCGACTCTCAAGTTTTAAGATACATATTGAGGATTAAAGCCACACACATATTAACTTGGTTTTATTCAAATTAAGATCATGCATAAGTCTGAATAAGACTGAAGTCTTTTAAAAACAAATCTTGTAGTATTCAAGAAAAGAATCAATTCTTTGTTGGATAGAGTGCGTTTTAAAATAGTCTTTAAAATAGCCTCTCTCTCTCTCTCTCTCTCTCTCTCTCTATAGGATATTCAATGTTTTGTAGATGAATGGACTTTATTTCACAAGTGGGATAGAATTTTTTGATATTTTCACGAGCGCGAAGTCCAAAAATCTTGTCTCATGAGTGAAATAAATTCCACATTCATCTACAAAACATTGAATTTTCTGTTTATTACATTTTCTTTGATTTTCCCTTTGATTCTGTCTTCGTAACAGGGTGTCATAGGCTGTGACGCCATAGTTGAGCGGTTAAGACGTCATAGCTAAGCGATTGCAAGATTGAAAAACGTTATAAACATGGACTTTTAAAAACATATATGGAGAAACTTTAGCAGTTTTACTCTCTGTCAGGATGGTTCATTTACTATCTTATAACAGGCCGGAGTTTTTTTTAAACGCTATTCGTGATGGGATGGAAAATCTCGAGTTTTGTCGCATTTCTGATATTCTCACACTGAGAATACCCTTTTGATATCCTTTCACACTGTGTCAGAGTATCAGTTTCATTCAATAAATGAATTACAGTATTTCACTGTTGAAAATGTAATAAATATATATATACTTCAAGATATTTTCTGGGGAGAAAAGCAAACATAACATCCTACTGTACAGATATATTTTTGATATAGAAACATGTAATATTTGTTATCTTTCTTGCAGAATTGTATAACCGAATGGTGAAATTAAAGATTGAAACTTAATCAGCTCTCTCAAGATTGAAAATTATTATTACGTACCATCATTGAGAAAAATTTTTGAAATTTGATGTGATTTCTCAAATCTCGTTGAAATTTTCCAAGAGAAACCCATTATTTTCAACAGTAGCATGCTTGTGGAAGTCATATTGCAAAATTTATTTGATAAAATAAAATCTGTCAAAAAGGACATTGCAATAAATTTGTTCCTTTTACTTTTACAATATCCCCCGGTAAATGATCCCATTCTCCACGCCCAACATCAGCCAATCATACATTTTCCCTCTATTTTATATTAAATCCCATTCCCCACTCCGCACTTCACTTCTATCTAAAGTCTTCAATTAGTAAAAACAGAGCATCACATTAATGTTTGGTATGAATGCTGTGCTATATCCCTTTTAGCCATAAATTTCACAGTTTAATATCAGTTTTCGCCAGAAGAAGTGTCTGAAATAAATTCTGAATCCGATGATAATTATTTTCCCATTACATTAATATCCTTTATTCATACAAACGATTGTGTCCGCTGTGAGTCACGAAAATTTCAAAAACCACACACCATAGGACTTTTATCATATAAAAATGATTAAGTTCCTATCCCTTGTCTTTACGTACTTAAATTTTTATTTGTTTTAAAAAATTTTGTTTAAAAGGGTTCCAAGTGCCTTGGATTAACACAAGTGGTTGTTAAAGTGGCACTGCAATACAAGAACTTTACTAATCAATCAACAACTGAAGAAAGCTACCAAAATCAGAGGGCAGTGGATATGACAGACTCAGTTTCGGAGAATACACAGGACACTACGGAAAGATAATAATGGCATTCATACCTTACCAAAGCCCTTAAAACAGCGAGACAGCTTCCATAAAAAACGAATGAAAAACACAGTACAACAACAATTAGTGAAACACTAATTTTGAAACTATGAAACCGTAAGATCAATCTTGTGTGATCGAGATTTGTGATATTCCTCTGAATTTATTAAGTCTTTGACCACGTGCATTGAGTGTATGTATACACGTCCTCTGTTATTTTAAAGACAAACTCAGTATGGAAGAATGTTCATTGGCAAAGTATAACACACCAGTAATTAGTATATGTTTAAGCTCATTTGAAAAATTACGCATGTACGTAGACGTAGCAGCTACTACTACTATTTTATTGCAGAAAATGTTTTATTTTTTCATTTGTATTAGTTAAGTTAAACTTTTAATGCTAAACAGGATAAATAAAAAACATACTATTGTTTCTGCATCAGCTTTTGCATCAAAATCAAAAAGGACCTCTATGACGTTTAAATGGCCTTCTTCTGCTGCGATATGCATGGCTGTTCTACCTTCCTAAAAATGAGAGGTAAGTAAATGAAAAATTCAGTATACCAGGAATCTGTCGTTATTCTCTCTTGTTGATTCATTTTCCTATGATATATAGTTTTTCCCCAATTAAGATCATAGGTAAGCAAAAACATCACAATTTATTTATCCCTTTCCTCTAAACTTGTCCTCAATAAAATTAGTACCTAGACTAAATATGATCTAAAAATCCAATAATTTCCCCATTTCTAGCTGATGTTTGGCAGTCATTATTTTATGATTCTAAGCTTTTATCAAATTCTGGAACATTTTCATTAAAAAACAAGATGTGTTTGTGAAACACTGATGCCCCCGTATGGCAGCTTATGGCGAAGGTTAAAGTTTCTCAAATGCAAGTCAAAATCCAGGCCAAAAGATAAAAAATGTTTAATTTGAAAGCCCTAGCTGCAACTGTTCAAAAGTTATGGCGAAGGTTAAAGTTTTTTAAAAGTAAGTAAAACATCAAGGTCAAGGTCAAAGTTGTTGGTATCCAAATGAAAGTCTTGTCACAAGGATTACATATGTAAAATATGAAAGCCCTAGCACCAACCATTCAAAAGTTATGGCCAAGGTTAAAGTTTTTTCGAAAGTAGGTCAAACTCCTATGTCAAGGTCAAAGGGTCAAAGTGGTTGGTACCCAAAGGAAGGTCTTGTCACAAGGATTACATACGTGAAGTATGAAAGCCCTAGCATCAACCATTTAAAAGTTATGGCCAAGGTTAAAGTTTTTCAAACGTAGGTCAAACTCCTAGGTCAAGGTCAAAAGGTCAAAGTGGTTGGTATCCAAACGAAGGTCTTGTCACAAGGATTACATACATGAAGTACGAAAGCGCTAGCTCTAACCGTTCAAAAGGTATGGCCAAGATTAAAGTTTTTCAAAAGTAGGTCAAACTCCTAGATCAAGGTCAAAGGGTCAAAGAGGTTGATATCCAGAGAAAGGTCTTGTCACAAGGAATACACATGTGAAGTTTGAAATCCCAAGCACCAACTGTTCAAAAGTTATGGCCAGGATTAAAGTTTTTCAAAAGTAGGTCAAGGTCAAAAGGTCAAAGTTGTTGGTATCCAAAGGAAGGCCGTGTCACAAAGAATACACATGTGAAGTTTGAAACCCCAAGCACCAACTGTTCAGAAGTTACGGCCAAGGTTTTGCAAAAGTGGGTCAAACTCCAAGGTCAAGGTCAAATATGATGGTACCCAAAGAAAGGTCTTGTCACAAGGAATACACATGTGAAATATTAAAGTCATAGCTCCAACCAATCAAAAGTTATGGGCAAGGTTAAAGTTGATAACAGACAAACAGACAGACAGGACAAAAACAATATACCCCTGGGATCTTTCGATCCAGGGGCATAAAAACAATATACATGTACCCCCGGGATCTTTCGATCCGGGGGCATAAAAAAACAGCTACATTTGAGTGATTCTGTTCTGAAATTGGTCATGGCCTTTCAGATCATTTCAGAATGTATTAAGTACAAAACTATATAAAAAATTTATAAGAATCAATAGTGTAAGGATTCTTTGAAACTCTCATGTCCAGTTATAGAAAAAAAAAAACCAAACATAGTTAAGGCTTCTTGTCCGATCCATTTCTTTTGTGAAAAGTAAAATTAATAAAAGATATATTGTAGTTCTCATACAAGTACATAAAAGATTTACTGTTAGGTCTTAATTTTACTATATCATTATTTGGTTTATATAATATTGCAGTAGTAAAATTAATATTTTGGTTTGCTGAAATTGAGGATAAACATCTATACCACATCTCTATCACTGACTTCCACCCCAAGGGTAAGTAATTTTTTGATGACGTCACTCTTTCCAGCTTCTGCGGCTAAATGCAATGATGTTTTACCCTCCTGTAATAAACGTTGTAAACAAATAATTTGAAAGCATCAATTGCAAATACAGCAGTGGGCATAGAAATAAAAAAAGATCTTTGGTGGATATTACATAATTATATTTCCCCGAAAACGTTGGAATCATTTGAAAAGCAGATGTAAAACGTAATTAGTAAAACATTATAAAATGAATTTTTATGTACTCTTAAGATCAAATTTTTAAACAATGAAAAACAACCTTATCCCTTCTGTTTGCATCACAGCGCATGTCGATCAGTCGCATCACCGCTTCTATATGACCTGCTTCTGCTGCCAGATGAATGGGAGTCCGCCCAGTCTTTAAAAAACAGACTTTAATTATTTCCTGTCACAAATTTTCGTTTGCATCATCAGTTAACATGACTTTGTAAGTGACATCAATGATTTTACTTTTGAACACTGGTACAAGTACTAGACTATCTTTACTATCGAAATGCTGTTGCATCGATGCCATTTTTGCTGAAGCCTTAAAACATTTAAGAAATAAATGACAATTTTAAAAACTTCTCTGGGAAATGAAATGGGTCGGTCACGTGATCAAATCCTGATCACGTACCGACCCACTTCATTTCCCAGTGAAGTTATTTATTACTTATATATACATTTGAGACGGACAATCGAATATAAGTATACTGTTCGTCGTAGATTTTGACAAATTACGCAAGGTGTAAATCGGCTTGAAAAGCGGTTACGCTTCAAATTCATCTGGCAAAGGATTCTGTTTTGAAGGGAATATTCTGTAAAAGGCTACTTGTGATCAATTATAGTGAGCATATTGGTGTCTGGGAATTTTTGTATTCGTGAGAACCCATGTTCGATGTTAAAAAAAAAACACAAGAAACACGTCCGATGTTTGATAATAAAAAGTTGGAGGAATTTCGGTCGGAAAGGGATGGATGGAGACACTTGTCCGGACCAGTTAATTTGGAATCAAGTATAAAATTTGATCAGAAACATAAAATCTACGATTTCAATAATGCATATTTATTATGATGTTGACACGGAGACACAGGCGACAGCTTACATTGCTAAGACAACGATCTCGATGATGGAGGTGTGCCTACCGAACTTCCGAAGTGCAGTGTTTGTCAGCTGTTTGTGGCGTGATTGCATTACATTGATATTTTCCAACAGATTTTCAAATTTATTGTGAGTAAAGTTTAATGAAAAAAAATATAGCATTCAGAGGTCTACAAGAAAAATAAGGGTAAACGTTGAGACTATGCAGCTCAGACATGAAATTTATAACACGTAGTTTTCTATTCTCTATGTAAAATCGATCAAGAACTGTATTAATTACTCGTTTACATTGTAAATAAAATTATTATTATTTTACTTGGGTATTTCACAGGTGCTTGAAGACAGGACCGCCCCCCCCCCTCCCCCGATATAGACCCCCCCCCCCGGCTTTTTCGACTTTTTTCTCATAAATTATCTTTCAATGACATATTTGTGATATAATCTATACCAACAATTCGAAAAATGACCTAAAACAAACATTTTATAAAATTTACCCCACTCTCTACATATAAATCAACAAGATTGCCAACTTCGTAAAAGCTTATTCAACGGAAGTAATGAGGAGAGGACTATTACCCATTTCTTCCATATAACCAAATATGAGTGCAAGGTATTAACACTGGACACATTCTTGTTTTTTTTGTACGAATTTTTAATCAAATAAATATTTTTTTCTAACATTTTCTAGATTTTATGCGAAGTATCTAGAGAAAAGAAGGTATTTAAATAAATTGCATTTTTAAAAGGGGCATAACTGTCAAAACGAAACCTGCAAATCAGGTAGTTGAATAATAATTAGAAACATTTCATTTACATTAGTGGTTTAGAACTCTATGCTTCCAATACCTTTGAAATATAGTTTTAAAGTGTATCTCAACCAGATTTCTTCAAATGCTTATTTCAAAACAGTGTTTCAGACTTTCTGCAGAACTGTGTATTTGGGTAGAAAGTCGTATCCTCATCACTTCAGTTGAATAAGCTTTGATCAGTTTAAAAACGCTAACATCCTTGTGGAAAATTGGCCGAAACGACTGTTGAAGTGCCTAAACTTTTAACCTATGACATGAGTTTTTGATTTTAGGGCTATGTGTAGATTTATGAGACAATTCAACAAAAATTCCTCGGCAGTGCCTCTCGGTTTGCAGACGAAGTTGGCAACCTTGTTAAGGAGGCTGGGGGGTCAACAAATTAACCACAAATTAACCACCAGATTTAACTTAATTTTTTAGATATGATATCTTAAGCTGTCAACTATCATTTGGCAAAGAAAAATTTCAAAAATTTTGGTTTTAAAATTTGATCATTTTCTAGATCTTCATATGGAGCTCTTCTTCTAAAGGAGATCAATATAGTCTAAAAATGGCCACAACCTCCCAGCCTCTTTAATTTATATATATAGGGTAGGGCAGTAATTTTTATAAAGTGTTTGTTTAAGTCAGTTTTCCGAATTGATTATATAGAGATTATATCACAAATGAGTCATCCATATATAATTCATGAGAAAAAAGTCGAACAGGCCCGGGGTCTATATCGGGGGGGGGGGGGGTGCTGTCCTCGAGCACCTGTACGGTATTTTGTACATTTTTATGCATGAAAAACATGCTATATTGCTAAGTAGAGTAAGTCTTTTTATGTTGATATTACTGCGCTGTGTGATTAGGCACGTAATCACCTATGACCTTCGAAAAACTTCATAGAGGTATGAAGATATTTGCTCTCTGTATGTTTATATAATAGAGAGATACCACAAATGTATATATTACGAAATATAGCATGAATAATTCGTAATCCATAAAATGTACATTTATTTTTCATCTAACAATAAATGAATCGTTTAATTTTTTCCCGAGACATTTCCTCTCACTCAACCATATTTTCACATCGATTTAAAAAGTCAAATATATCCAAATAACGGAATACATGTATACCCCATTAAAATTTTAGCTTTAATGAAAGCTTCAGCAAAATGTTTTCTAACAAATATTAACAGAAATCAAAACTACCACGTAAGGATATCTAGTTTACTATCATTTGATCAATGTTAAGAAAAAATAGCTTTTTCAACCGCTAAACAATAAAAGAATCGTCTAATTTTTCTATGTCAGGGGAATTTATATAAAAACTATAATTTTCATTTAGAAAGACGAGGTCAAGGTTTCATTCAAACCAGTAAAAGTACACTGAAAATGGATCTCTGAAGAGAAATTAACGACCTTGTAAAGTCAGGGTTGACTAGAAGGTAATTGGCGAATTTAAAGCTAACGAACAATAATAATTGTCTACCTCCGTAGAGCTATGGCTATATATGACAGTCTAATCCATGATAATACATGTGAGAACATTTTAGATAAAAATAATCAACATTGCAGCATCATGGACCCACTTTTCTGTGATTAAGAAGTCGATAATGCTTGACAATCTATTCTTGTTCTATGATTTTTCACTGGCATGGTATATACGATAATCCCTTGTCGTCGTTTCGATTAATTATTCAGTACTTTGCCACAGGGCAGAGTGTTTGCGACATTTTTTTCCTTCTACAACAGTGTCCTTATTAGATCGTGTTCACCACTGATTAAAGACCTTAGGTTCCGTACATTAAATTGAGGGGTAGGCAGGTTAGTAAGGCAACAGTTAAGTTTTGTTTATAAATATAGAATGCCCCACTTATAAGCTACAGAGTGTATAGGCATTTCATACTAATTGTTTATTCATTTGTTTTTTTTTATTTAATTAGCAGGCATTAGAAGAGAACTCAGAAGTATTTTGTATCAGAACATGAAAAATGCTATAACTGTTAAGGTGCACAATTTACTTTTTAGAGGCATTTATCTTTTTAGCCAAATTTTAAGTGATACTGATGATTACAAAAATTACAAACCCATATCTTTTGGGAAACAGTAACGTTAAGTAAATATCAGTAAAATACTGTTCGGCAATCTCGAAAATTCTAGATTAACACATTGTAAAAATGGTGAAGACAATGAACAGTGGTCGAACTAAAGAAAAACCCTACATCCCTAGTAGTAAGCATCCCCTGTTGATCGAACACACACGCCGTACGCCCTATGAATTGAACAGGTAGACAGAATATTCCATAGATGAATTAGGTATTTAAAAAATGCCTAACAATTGGCATAAAATATGCCATTCAAAATATGACCTACTGACAGGTCATTATAATGATCCTAGAATTTACCAAATTGCTGAATTTTAACTGAGGTAGTTGAAATCTCGTGTAACATTAACTTATTTGTCAGTAGCCTGTCTCGGTTTAAAAATTGGTCTCCGAGCTTACTCCGAGCTTGCTCTTGAATATCGAATAAGCTGAGAGAAATGAACACCATATGCAGGCAAAAGCGGAATATTACTACATTAATAAAGAAAGTTGGCGATGGAAAAGCTAGAGTATTCATTATCTACTTACGAGTATATATTGTCTGTGAATGAATAAAAAATAATTTCGATATGCATAGAATTTAAAACAGCTTTCATGCGACATGTACAAAATGTGGGCGATCGACAAGTGACGTTATTTGTCGGAATGGTTACCTTAGTCAAACAATAATAAATATTCATGAAATATTTACCAGCATGCCTAAGTCACTCAATGATAAATATTCATGAAATATTTACCAGCGTGCGCCAGTCAGGCATGATATTTTATTGTGTGTATCAAAACTATTGAGAATTTTCTTCAGATTTAAATTTTCTTACATTCATCAACATATCTGTCTGATTTAATAAAAGATATCTGGGAAATTCTCTTTTGGTCAATGTTTACAATGAATATGTAGATGAATAAAAGGATAGAATGGTAGATTGTGAATTTATAGTATCAGCATCTACCATTTTCTCTCGTGAATAAAACAAAATGTACCATTTCTTCTTCATTGACATTGATGTTTTCCAGTGATTCAAATATAAAGTTCATCACATCCACGTGGTTGTTTTGTGCAGCACAGTGAAGAATACCCATTCCTTGCTGGAAATACAAATTGTATTCAATAGGTAAGAAAACATTTATATACACAATCTTTATAAATCATAGTAAATCATTATAATTAAGAAAGAAGAAATATTCTATCCAACAAGAGCTGAAAAACCGCTTATTTTAAATTTATTAAGTTTGTTTGGATTAAAATGTTGCTTTTAAAGTTATCCAATTTTCCCTTGAGAAATAAAATATTATATTTCGACTTTCAGCAGTGCATGGTTAAAAAAAACAGAATGCGGCATTTGATTAATATTTGCTTAAAAAATTCTGATCATTATAAAAAATTAATTGCTATACTCTAAGGGTACTTGCTTGTATGAAGAAACAAACACAAAGAAGAATTCAGTTTTCATTATTATTTTTGTAGTCTTATTAATAAATATAAAGATCGTATAATCATTGTGCAAGAATAATTACCTTATTTGTGCAGAGTGGAGTAGCACCTCCGGTAATTAGCACCTTAATAGCATCTAAATGTCCAAGCCAGGCCGCCCAAAGAACTGGACGCATTCCATACTACAAAATATATATATTGTATAGTTGACCTTTCTTAATACTTGTGAATAAAGGAACATTTGTGCGTCTTTTTCTAGAAGGCCAAACATCTCCATAATCAAATGAGATAACCATATTGTAAAAATGCTAATTTTGCGGTATTTATTTCCAATTTGGTACATCAGAAAACTAAACCAAAATGAGGAAATGACCAGGTTATATTAATGTGTATCATTAATGTAAAGATAAACCTTGTCCTTCGATTCCAGGTCGGCACCGTCTTCCATGAGTTTCTCTATGACTTCTATGTTGCCGTTAGCAGCTGCCCAGTGTAAAGCTGTTCGATCCAACTATAAATAGGGAAAAAGATGTTATTTGGTTAACACTGAAATGTTCGTAATAATCTAATCAAAATCAGTTACGTTACATCCTCTGAAATACTCTTAAACCCTTCATGTATATTGTGTATCAATGCAGGCTTTAACGGATAAGAATTTAAACGACGTTGAATGTTCATGTATACTGCAAACGAATGCTTGCATACTAATTTGTCAAATTGTAACCATACTGTTCTTGAAGAGAAAAAAAAAATAGAAGAAAAAATATTCCGAATAGATTTTTTGGTGAAACCCTCATTCCCAGGGTCCACAAATATGTACTACACGTAGATGCAGCGTCAAACAATACTCTAGATTTTATCTTGATATTTGTGAAAGATGTTCCCCCTTAATATTCCACTATAATTAAAGAATTATGGCTTTGGGGGTAAATGATATGATAACCAAATTGGGAGGAACCTAAAAATTCGCAAAATAAGCACAGACATGTGCTTCCAGGTCGGTTATCATCCGTATACATGTATAGCCACTACTCAATTAAATGAACATCATTCACTCCTGACGTAGGGTGAATTCACCATGCATCGCACACCTTCGCACTTCAACGAGTTCTAGCGATATCGCTACCGACCGAATATTATCAAATTGGAACTTAACATGTAGTATGTGGTTAAAATATAAATATTTGACACAATCGTGCCCTATTTATTGAGAAAATAAAATTAAAAACCGATTTTTTCGAAATAAGTCAGAATTCACCATGGATCGGACAATATTCACCATGCATCGGACATACGATATTTAAACCAGAAAAATATCATACCTTGATCTCGGTGCTTTAAAATTAGTGATATCGGAACATTTTTATCTTTTTTTTTTAAAACTTAACCTTCTAGTTAAATTTGAATGACTACTTCGATCCACAAATGTGAAGAGATTTCAGTTGCATCACATCGCCTTGGAAAGGCTTTACAGTGCTAGTAATCATGGTAATATGGCAACTCGCGCCTTTGTCGCGTGGGTTATCAACATCTAGTTTAAAGAAATAAATTGAGTCCACTTCTAGTCGTCATATATCGATAATTTGAATTTCCACTGAAAATTTAGAGTTTCTATTTTCTATTTCCGTAAAAAACAGCTGTTATTTGGGTTTTATATGAAAATGGAGTTATTACCCATGCATCGGAAAGTGTCCGATGCATGGTTAATTTGTGTCCGATGTACGGTGAAATAAACATACTAGTTAAAAACAACTCTAAGAAATATTATACAAATATTAAAGTAAAATTTTTGAAAAATGTCGGTAAAATTATCAATCATTGATAAATTTTACCTAGGACCGACCCGTTCCGTTGACGTCTATTAAAAAGAACGACAACTCTAAAAATTGCAAAATCGTAAAATTCTGGTTATAGTCCCCTTTGATGATGCAAAATATGACGTAATTTCAAGGCCATTCTTGTGATATTTATATCACAACACGAAAATAAAAATCGGCATCATTAAAAAGTTTAAATCTTCAGCTTTAAGACAGAAACAAGTAAAAACACGGGGAGACTCGGGTTCAATGAAAGTTTATTGCTTAAAGTTGTCCGAAGCAAGGTATGTGTCCGATGCATGGTTAACTCACCCTAATGAAATCCAAATAATGACATAGAGAAAAGTACAAGGGTCACACGAGATGTCATGAGGTCATGAACATTTAACCTTGGATTTTAGTGGTATGGTTATCGTTTAGAAATTTTGACAAACGTAATTTTAGTGTGAAACACTATTTAAACACAATTCCTGCCCAACGGTCCCTTAGTTGACAACTAAAATATACAATAGAAGCTTGTATAGACAAATATGTAGCCAAAAATGTTAAGCAAGATGATTTTTAAATATATTTTTTTGAGATACTCCACGTAAACATTTAATCTCTTATTATAGTACCATACCTGCCATGTAGCTTACTATATATGCACTTAATTAAAAATAGGCTAACATTTAAATGCTCTGTATTTCAGATTCTTTTATACATACTTTTTTCTTGTGTATTTGCAATTCAAAAACGCTGAGTCACTATTGTGTCTCAGCAGACAATATCTATCTTCTGTGACCCTACAATGGAAACTTTCGGTGGTGTAGAGCCCCCCCCCCCTTCCCCGTTTATTTCTTATTCATCCCATTATTTGTTTGTTTTGTTTATTCATTTCATCTTTACAACTTCTTAAATTCTTTTCCCAACTCTCCATTTCCTATTCATTCCATTATTTACGTTTTAAAGCTTTACACTATATTCTGTTGTCCTGTCTTCTCTTTCGAAGGCGACTAAAAATAAAACGATTTTCAATTCTCTACGTATGATATTTCAAAACAACTTTATCACTTACATTGTTTTTACAGTTGACGTTAATACGATGTTCGGACAATAATTTTCGGACAGATTCGAGATCATTTTCTCTGGCAGCTTTGTGGAAATTGATTTCACCTTTTGTCACTGCAAAAAAAGTCATATACTTTTTTCATTATACAACCTTATAACAATTTTTATGATTAATTCTTCTACAATTGTAAATCATCGTAAAGTCAGATAATAATTCACATAAAATGATAATTTATAAGGCAAACATAAAACGAGTTTATAATTATAATTTATATGATTCTGGTTAAGTTTGATTTACATATTAGTATGCATTCTAATAAGCAGGTTGGTGCATTATGTTCATAACTTTCCAACATCTCCATATCAAATTTGTTTCTGTTTCAATCATTGCAACACCTTGAAAAATCTATTTAAAAAATCTCTTTTCTTTCAATTCTGATAGATTTCTGCCCTTATTTCACAGGTATCGATGATATAACCTAACCTAGATTTGTAATAAAGAATTAAATACTTCCCTTAAAAGGTGAGGTTTCGAGGAATAGGTTACAATCTTTCAAGGAGAGAAGCATACCAACGGATCATAAAAGATATAAAAGTTCCTATCAAATGGCATTCTACTCTGCAAGTTCTAGGAATATGGTAAGACATCTTTTCTAAGAACAGCTAAGAAAATTTTTGATACAAATACTGCTAATTTTAGAGTGGAAAAATATCATCATTGTACTTTTTTTCTTGTAGATCACATCGCCTTCTTGAAATGTTGAAAGAATTTTGGCGGGAAATATTGAAACTTGAGAACAAGATATTCTTAAGTAAAAATTAAGTGCACAGAAAATACCGTCTGTACAATATAAAAGTCTGAATAGGAAGAGAATGGCATGCTAAACAAACACAATTTTCTGGCGATAATGCTTGGTATTATTTAACGTTACAAAAGGGCATATAGATGAAGATATTTTTAAATGACATCCGAGAAAGAAGTTTTAAAATTCAAATTGCACTGAATTTAGGAAATAATTGCAATGTGGAAATCATCAAGTGCTGTAAGGGCAAATTATTCTGCGACCAATTTTTATTAGAAGTATCTATCTTTGAAACCCAAAGCAATAAGTTACACAACAGTCTAAAAAATACCCACTGTATGCCTAAATAATAATTAACAGCAAAATGAATAAGACACTTGCATTCAAGTTAAATGTGAAGGCAATCCGTGATTTTAATAGCTTTTTAGACAATATAGTTTTTCCTCAATTCATTTTTGAGCGTAGAGAAGCTATATTCATTGAGGTATCTTATTTAGCTGTACTGAAAAACACATATATCTTTAGTCAAAGCAGTGCAAATGGTTAATAAATACATCTCCAACCAATCGCCTTCATTAGATACTATTCATTACTTACTTATAACCTCCATCTTTGATGATCATCCTGTTATATCATCTGAAATCGTCAAACCAATCGAATAATTCATCCAGAACTTATAACGTGATGCAAAACACAATCCATATCATACATGCTTTTGTTTACTACGCACATGTAACAATATACATTTAATACTAATCAATAAGCATAAAGTACCCAAATTAAGCTAAGGTCACAGTGGGGAGATTTTTTGATCCAAAATACCATTATCAGCTTCAGAATCTGGAAGTAGAGAGTAGCATTATTTTTTAGAAAGGTTCGTAGAGGTCATTAATTATGGATCAGGTGCTGGAATTTTGTTACTTTGTCGATTTTGAGGGAAATGTTGCAGAAGGTGTCTGGAGCAGACGACACTACTGGTTTGTGGAGGAATCTGACCCGATATATGAAAGGTATTGATTATTCTCTTGATGGATGTCATAGTCTCCGGTTTTAGACATGTAAATATGTCATACTATAATGCCTTCAAATGTAGAGCATTCGGGCCTCAAATAATCGTTTGAGATTGCATCAAAACAAGAAACGAAGCGTCAGTGTTGCAAATGTCGAGTTTCAACTTTTAACAAGAGGTTCAAGGGCCTTAACGATCACCTGAGTATAATACAATAACTTAGAGGATCCATTGAAGTATAAAATATACTGATAGATGAAGCTTTGTTGCCCCAAAGCCAGAGAAAAAGGATGATGAGGATCAACAATAATATAAGACTAAGTCTAGTACTCGGTAACAACTCATTAAAAAAAGCTCTACTTGCCCCCATTTATCACTATAACCATACCGACTATTTAGGACGTATGCAACGTACCTTACCTGCTGATAATTTTTTCAAAATATTCTTAATTTAAGATTATAGTGTCATCAGATGTTCGTAGACAAAAAAAATCAGTATGCATTTTCAGAGGGGTTTTGAAAAGATGTCAATTGATGAAAATTCTTGTATAATTCAAATAAAAATATTAAAAAATTACTAAACAAATATTTTAGATGTTTTGTTTATCCAAACTTGTTTAAGAAGAAGTGTACAACAGCATATATAGACATTAAAATGTAGCACACAGTTCCTATTCCTATTAGTATTGGAACTCTTCAACTCCAGGGAAAAAGACAATAAAGTTCAAACTACGTTGCGTATATCCTTAACATAATAATAGTGCTTCTGTACTATTTCAAACCCATATAATAACCTCTCACATTGGTCTCTCTTGGTCTTTGAAAAGCATTTATTAAGATAAGTTATTTTTATCTTATCTTTATTTATCTATTATTTACATATCTACCTGATCTGTAAAACTCTGAAATGCTTTTTTGTATGATACAACAAAAATTCTTGCATAAGGGTGAATTAAAAAAAAATGACCAAACGCATATTTATCAACCCACACTAAAAATACAGGCAATGAAAATAGATTTCTATGTCTCAGCATATGTCTTTAGATAGTGTCTAAATACCTGCCAAATATCTCGTTGATATCTCAATTAACAAAAAAGCTATGCCCAAAAATGATGCTAAAAATGTCAAGAGTGCAACACCTTTTTGTGACATTTTGAAATTTCAATATTTTTTGGAGATTTGTGAAATAAATAATAATGCTTTATGTTGAAAATAATGAATTTCCTGATAATATTCAAAGTATTGAGCTTTAAATGTGGACTATAGTAACTTTTGTTTAATCATGTGGTCATGGCTGATGTTTAAAAAAATGTTAAACCATGTCAGGAGTGCAACAGAAAAAATGTAGTGTTACCAAAAAAAAAACCAACAAAAAAAACATCAATTCTAAAATTCTGAAAGAAAATTAAGACAAAAAAGGATTTTCAAAGTGTGAAACAATAACTGATATACATTTTAAAACCAAAAAATGTTATATAAATCACAGGCAGCATTAATGAGAGTCAAGTATATGTGCATACCCAATAATGTCAGGAGTGCAACATTTGATGTTTTGCTCCCAAGCATGAAAAAACTATTATTATTATATGATTTTCTGATTTTTATTTTGGAAAATAAAGAAACAAAGAACATTTTTACCAAACAGATTTATCAATTACAGGATCCGTCTGTGCTTCAGATCTATTTTTCTATGGTCAGGAGTGCAACACATTTTTTTAAAGATTCAAGTTGTGTGACGAAAACACTTCTATTCATGCTTAGAAGTATTCATTAATTAATAATGATCTTTTTGTATAATGTAATACTAAATTATGGACAGTTTCATTATTAATATCCTTCCTATTTCAATTTTATCAATTTAGATGTGTTTTTATACTTTTTGTGATTTTTTTTAATGAATGTTAAAATAAACACCCTAAAAAATTGTCATAAAATTCAAGTAATACCTCCTCAACTTCACTGAAACAACAGAACAAGTTCTTATGTAGTTTTCATTTCACAATTCTACTTTAAAGGCCCCAATGCTTTTGGTCAGGAGTGCAACATATATGTAAGAATTATAAATCATCCAATAAGAATAAAAATAAGAAAAATGATGAGTAGAATTTTTCTGGTGGGTTACTGTGCTTGTCCTCTAAAGGAAAATATGCTATAAAATATATTTTATCTTCTAAATATACATTTAAACTAGTTTTGTTTTTTGCATAAATAGGGAATAATTCCAGATAAAATGTGAATTTTAAATACATTCATCTGTTTTAATTATGAAGTATTGGACTATAAATATTGCACAATTTCATCACCACTTGATGTTACCAACTCTTCATGAATTTTTGTGTTCTGTGGTTTTAATTTTAAATTTTACTGCAGTCAGGAGTGCAACAAAATTGTTTCATGATTACCAATGCTTTTTAACTATCTTTACTAAAAAATAAGTTGAAAAAAAATGTTTGATACTATTTGATGTTCAAAACACTATGTCTATCAACAAATTACAGAAATTTTACAGTCAATTCAGGGAATAGTTTTCATCATTTCACGTATATTTTTAAATACAATTTATGTATTCTACACTTTGTAAATAATCATGTTTTAAGGTCTTCAAAATATGAAAAACCTGCCGCAAACGATGAAAAAATATCAAAACGACAAATTGATTTAAAAGTAAGAATGGGTTATTGTGTGTTATAATTTTTAAAACAATGTTAAATAAAATACATATCAGATGTCAGGAGTGCAACACAATAATGTAACATAGGGTCACTTCAAAAATCGAGTATTTTTTGTAAGAGAACTTATATATAATATATATAAAAATTCTTTTTTGGCTTAGATTTAAAGAATTGACTTGAACGGACAAAAAAGTGAATTTTGGGGAATTTTATTGCTTCATATTTTTTTCATATCAAAACTTTTCAAACCAGAAAAAAATAATGTAAAATAATCAAAAAGCCAATTTTTTGTCACATATACAAGAGAAGATACTCCATCAAGGTCTAGATTTAATCATTTATACCCTATTACCATTTTGAAGCATAAAAAACTATAATTTCTTGTGATTATGTATTCTAGAAAGTCTTTTAAGGTGTAATGATATTTTCTTTTTTTTCAAAAGAAATTTTACTAATAAAAATTCTGAAACTTTTTAATTCAATTGTATATTCTATTGTAACTTCGGGATTTTAAACTAGAATGCATGTGCAATGTGATGATATAAGTGAAAAATACATTATAAGTAGTTGAATTTTTCCAAAAAATTTCAGTTTGGTGGTCATTTTTTTAATTCACCCAAAATCTCTTT